CAGGGCCTCTCTGCGGTCATCAGTCGCAGGCCCACTGCCCAGCCCGCCTCCGTGGCTGCTCGAGTCAAAGACCCAAAGGAAACTGGTGACTGGACAACCTTCACGTTCTCATGGCTGCGCCTCCTGGGTAATGCGGGGGTGGGGGGCTCGGCTTCCAAGCGGCCTTCTCCTTTGCTGCCCAGCTCACCCCTCAACCTCAGATAAAGAAACTGAGCACTGGGAGGGAAAAGTGGCGGGGTCGGCGCGGCCCTGGAGGGAGCCGAGGAAACTTACCAGTCACAAGACTGCCCCCGGGTGGCGGTTTCGGGAATGGCACGTCCCCGCAGCGGGCGGCCTCTAGCTAGCTTTTTGCTCCCGTCAGCTGCGGTAGAAGTTATTGAAGCCAAACTTGTACGTTAATCCCCAAGAAAAGAAGAAATGGCCCCGAGAAACCTCCTTCCTCAGACGCCGAGATATTGTTCACTTTGTCTCTGTAGCTGCACTGCCATTACCATTTGATAAATGCACTTTCAAAATCAAATTCTCCTCTCCCTGGGCGCCGACCTGCTCCCTCCCAAGGGCTTTCCTGGCTGACCCCCATCCCTAGTCTCCTCTTAAAACAATAGCCAGGGCAGCGGGTCCTCTGGTGGTACAACCCTCCAGGCATTGGCTGGCACCCGCTGGGCTTCTGGCTGCTGCTTTTTTGAGCTATTTACTATTCAGGAAATTTGGTAATTATTTTTTTCTCCACGTAGTGGTATTATCCTCTTTCTTTTGATATTAGATCCTCCGCGGGCCCCTAGCTTCACGCTGGAGACTGGAGACGCAGGAGCCAGAGGAAGGGGCTGCCTTCGGCCCAGAATGGAACTTTCCTTTCTGTGGTCCTCGCGGCTGCTCAAAGCCAGCGGAGAGGTTCTGACCTCCTGGCACCCCGAGCAGGCGGGGGCAGAACCCGCCCTCCCAGGGCAAGAAGAAAACGCCCGGTCATTTATTCCTTTTATTCCTCTTTCTTCCCCTCCTCATTTCACCAAAACACGCGCCGTGTTTTTATCATGGGACCGAAGGAGGAAAGGGATGAGACTAACCCAATATGCAAACAGCGCTGTGTGGCTGCTTTCGGGGGTGTCACTGGTCAGTATTGGGGTGTGACCTTCGCAGGTTTTCCTGTGTCAACAGGGAGCTTGCTCGGAACAGGCAACACTCTGCAGATGTGTGTTGGGTGAACAGGCAAGTTACTTGAGAACTAGGAAGCAAAAGGGAACAGAAAGACTAATTTATGCAATTAAGAAAACCGTGGTGATACATTTCTTGAGAGAATGGGTCCCACAAAACAAGGTTGCTGGTGTTACACTGTGAGGAACTGACTGTATGGGGTGGTTTAGGTTTTTCCCGGCTGAACCACACTACTGAGCACAGAGACTTGGCACTGTGATTGTGGGTGGTGCCTAGGGTATCACTGGGCACTTCACGCAGTCACCCTAGAGAACGGGAGAGAAGTGTGACCAGCTGGCATCTCAGCCTCCCGCAAGGATCCTGGTGGTGGGCAAAGGCCTGGGCAGAGAAACCTTTGTTCTGACTGGCTTTTTTTTTTTTTTTTTTTTTTTAAGGAAAGGAGCAAGCCTCTCCTGCTGCTTCTTGTTCTTTTTTTTTTTAAAGATTTTTTATTTATTTACATATACAGAACTGGGATACAGGCCGGAGGTGAGAGGCAGTGAGAGGCTTCACTGAGACGGAGTGGGGAGCAGAACAGGCAGATGGACTGAAGTACACTGCTGAGGGGAGCAGCGGGTGGGTCAGGAGAGGTCTGTTGCGCCCTGTAGTCACTCCCAGGCTGGGGACTGAACTCAGGCACAGAGGCTTCCCATAGCTTCATAGCAGTGAGATTTAACCCCTTGGCTGCCAGGGAGGCCCCACAGGTCATCTTGAATTCGGCTCAGACCAGCCTCTCTCTCTCTGGCTCTTCCCCCACCTTCACCCTTGTCTCTGAAGGACTTAGAGGACCCCTGTGGCTTGCAGCTGGCCTTGCATCTTTTCCATGCCCCACACCCCTCCCTTCCTCTGGCCCTGTCTGGAGACCACAGCTCACTGTGGACACAGGCCTCTGCCCCCGCCCCGCCCCCGCAGCCACCTAGCCAAGCCCGCTGGGGTGGGGTCCAGCCTTGCTCGCCTGCCTGCACCACACAGCGGAATGTGGCTGGAGCAAAACCAGTCAGCGGTGTTGGCTGCTCTAGTAAATTCTTGCTCGTCGCCTTTCACCCCGCCTGCCAGTTCTACTGTATTTCCCTGGCCTGTCCCCTTTCCTGTTCCCCAGGTGACAACTTTACACCTCCTCCTGCTCTCCCCTCCAACTGCCAACATGCCCCTCAGGCTCAATTCTCTGCCCTGGGCTTTGACTGGTATTTCACTGAGAAAACGGAAACATCCGTGAGGTCCTCTGTGGGGTGCAGAGCTCTGTCTCTGTAGACGCCCCTCCTTCTCCCCTGCCCACACCACCCATGTGCCCTGGCCCCACCCTTCTGGTTCGCCCCAGGACACCGCCTCAGCACCCCCCCCACCCCCAGGCCATCACTGCTGCATCATCACCCACAACTGCAAACAGTTACTCTTCCCGCCTAAAATGCAAACACCTCTCCTGCCTCCACCGCTACCCCACGCGTGTGTCTGCATCCTTCCAGCACTACCCCTTGCAGGGGCCGCCGACATCTCCATCCAATCTCCTTTCCCTTCTTCTTAAATCTCAGTTGGATTTCGGACCGCAACGTCCAAACGTCCACCCACACTTCCACCCACCCCGCTTTGACGGAGGCCGGTGACCTACGCTGCTTCCGGTCATCCTCTTTCCGCTCACCGCAGCGACACCCCTCAGTCCCTTTCTGGAAAGCAGCTTGTTCACTTGCCTTCCAGGCAACGCATTCTCCCCTGCCACACTGGCCCTGCCACGCTGACCCACGGTGCTGCCGCCTGGCCGCAGAGTTTCAGTTCCCTCCACCCTGGGTCAGGCCTTGGAACTTCTCTTTCCTCTGTCCTCACTCATTCACCGATCTCATCAAGATTCCTGGCTTTAAATGTGATTTCTGTATTTGACTCTCAAATTAACAGCTCTAGCCTGGACCTTCCTCATCTCTGGTTTTATTTATTTAATTTAAAAATATTTTGTTATGTAGGCACACAAGAACTGGGGTACAGGCCAGAGGTGCTGGGGGTTGAGAGGATTCACCAGAGACAGAGTGGGGAGCAGAACAGACAGATTGGCTGAAACACACTGCTGAGGGGAGCAGCGGGGAGACAGGAGGGTTCTGCTGCGCCCTGTGGGTCCCTCCCTGGCCGGGGATCAAACTCATGCTGCAGCGGCTGTGGACAGCTTCATAGCGCTGCGCTTTAATCCCTTGTGCCATCAGGGAGGACTCTGGCTTCTGGTTTTAAATATCCACCTTCACTGCACATCTCCACATGTCTGAAACCAACCTCCGACCTCTCCACATTTGTCCTTTACAGTCATTCCCAACCTAGTAAACAGCAACTCCATCCTTCTACCGTCTCAGGTCAGAAACCCGATGTTAACCTTGGCTTCTTTGTTTTTTCTCTCAAATATCACAACCTCTGTCTCAGCAAGTCTAGGAGCTCTACAAATGAATCCCACATCCGGCCACGTCTTCCGACTTCACTACTCCGGCACTCTTCCTTCTCAGATGATTAAGCTGCGCTTCGCACTGGCCTCCCCATGCCCACCTCTGGCCGGCAGTCTATTTCCCAACCAAGATTCAGCACAAGCCTTCATAAGGTGCAGCTACAATGGCTTCCCCATTCCATCAGCCCTGAAAGAAAAGCCAGACCCTCGTGTTGGCCTGTGAGGCCTTGACTTCACTGTGTTGGGCCCCACCTAGGACTTGAAACAAGTCAGACATGGTCCTCGTTCGAGACTTTTGTGTTTGATGTTCCCTGTCTGGACGGCCACCCCAGCTAGTCCACTGGTCTTCCTCACCTGGTTCAGTTTTCCGCTTAAAATTAAGCTCAGCAAAACCATCTTCTCTAACCCTACTTAAAATACTCTTATTGGCTTGGTAGGGCACTGAACAGAAGCTAACTGTCTCACGGTGTGGGGGCAAGGAGTCCGAGGCAAAAGGGCAGCTTCTCCTGAGGCTGCTCTCCCTGGCCTGCAGGAGGCCCCCCCACCCCAACCCACCCCCAGCCAGCACCACACCCCCCTTACCTGGTCTTTGGGCACCAGCATCCCCAGAGCCCATGGTGTGTCCTAGATTCTTCTTAGAAAGATGCCAGTCAGATCAAATTAGTGCCCACCCTAACAGCCTCGTTTTAATTTAATTACCTTTCTAAAGGCTCAGTCTTCCATTGTCGTCCATGGCAGGTGCTGGGGGTTAGGACTCAAAGGTCCACCAACATGTCCCAGGTTCTAGGACATGCCGGTACACAGAAGCACTGAATTCAGAGTTGTCAAGTCACTCAATGACCTTAGGAGCTGTCCGGCCTAAAGCTACTTCAATGTGCAGCCCTGTCCTCTGTCCTCCATCACTATGCACTCACTTACCATCCTCTGGGCAGAGCCCAGAGCCCAGGACTGCACCAAATACCATGAGAAAGTCACAAAACAATAAACAGCAATAGAACGGCCAATCTTCTCCAAACACAATGTATGCAAAGGCATTTCCAAACAAGCATGCACATGATTAAAAAGATGCCTCCCTGAAGGGAAAAAAAAAAAAACAGTAATTTTTTGGCACAAATTTCAAGGGCAATAAATAGATGAGATTAGTGGTCAGGGACTCAAAAGGGGTGGCGGGTCACCTGCTGAGCTCCGACGGATGGAGGACTCAGATCCTCCTCCGACAGGGCAGGGCCGGTGCCACCGGCCACTGTTTGCACGAGGAACCAGGGCCAGGTCCCCACAGCTCACTGTTTATCGGGGGGTCACCACGGAAGGAGCCAGCGCCCTCGGCATGCGGGCTGACCTCCACCTGGCAGCAAACAGGCCCCCTGTTTACCCAAGATCCTGACCGCCTCAGTGTGTGTCCACCTCGCGCCAGATGAGAGGAGGCCGGCCTGAGCCGCCTCGCACCCCCGGGGCTTTCTATGCGCTTGTGAAGGTGAAATGGGGTGACAGGTCCCTGAGCACCTCCTCTGCTGCATTAGGAACGGTTAGGAAGTCAGAGAGAGAGAGAGAGAGAGAGAGAGAGAGAGAGAGTCCTCGGGCACCAGACAAGCTCTCTGGTGGAAGGTTCTTGAGAGAGGAGGAGTTAACCTGCCTGACCCGGCCAGGGGCCAGGTCACAGAGGCGTCACCCTCCTAAGGGGAATCTTCACTGGGAGGCGCCCTCTCGCCTGTCTCCTCAATAAAAAGGCAGAGTCGCGCTCACTAGCCGCCAGACTACCGAACGCTTCTAATTCCAAATTATTTACACTAGAAATCCGTACTGACAGTATCTGAGGAAGAGGGATGAAGCGTCCTTAAAGAGAAAGAGGGAAGAAGGAAGTGAAGCGGTTGCCTTTGACCAGACCGGAGGGGAGTCAAAAGATAGCGCAAGGTTTTAGAAACAGACAAGCCAGGTCTACAAAGCTTTCGAGCAGCAAACGGCAGCTGTCCCAAGGACTTTGTTCCTACCAGCAGGTGGGGAGACCCACGCTGCCTTCTGAGGGTGCAGAGCGCCTTGGGGAGCAGGCACCAGTCTCAGCTAGCACCTTGTCACCACACAGTGCCAGATTTTCTAAGTTTCGAGCTGGCCACGTTTGGGGCTGTGCTGACCCGTCCATTGTGGATGGAGTTACACTATCCAAAGTGTCTCGCTCCTGTGCCACAGAATCTGCATCAATTTTCTGTACGTGTCATATAACATGATAGTCAACTTTTGGGGGCTCTACAGATTGCAACGAGCTGGACTGTCTCTGATTAACAAGAAACCGGACTGAATCTGAAGGCCTAACATATTCTCTTAGGAAGGCACCCATCGTGGGTTCGTTTTTTTTTTCACTTTTATTGTCCACTCAATCAGAAGTGTGTCCAGGTTTTACACAAACACCCAAGTTCAAGTTCCAGCCCACCACCAAAACCACCTGGGCCCAGTCCAGTCTGGCCTGAAGATTATGCCATCTGGGGCCGAGGCAACAAAGAGTGTAGTTTCCTCCTCTGATATTTACATCACACACTTTCAGAAATAATTTGATCTTTCCTAACTTATGCTTAATGCAATTTTATTACCTTCTCACTCATAAATTTAATCCACAGTCAACTGTTTTTATTTCTAGGCCCTATAACCATTTATAGGGTAATAAGTACTGTAAGTTTACCACCACTGTGTAAAGGAGCTCCCTCTTCTGATCTGTGGTTGGACTTCAGGAGAGTCTTCTTAGTTCTCATATTGATCATCAAATCTCCACTTTATCTATACACGTAATCTCAGTTATCCCCCCTCTTTGATTCTGTACCAAATGAGCTAAAAATATGTATAGGCTGTCTATACCTAGTCACACATAAACAATCTAAGCTAAGTTATTTTTAGTTAATGTGATAAAAAATGAGAGCAGATGAGAAACAGAAATGCAAGACAATAATGATGTTTTTAAGATTGCTTATTTACTTGCACACCTTTCACTCCAGTGTTAGTTCCTTGACCGTGGTGGGGTTTTATCCACGTTCTTTCTCCCCTAGTCCAGCAGTTCTCAAGTATCATTGTGCCTCTGGATTGACTAAGCGCTGGTTCAACCTGTGGCTGAGCACCTCCCCTGCCACCCCACCCCCCACCCCAGGGTTTTTTTAATTCATTAAGTCTGGCTTGGAGTCTGGATTTGCTGATCTAACAAGTTCCCAGGAGAAATCACACTTTGAAAACCACTGCTCTGGCGCCTCGCTGGTGGAAGGAGGGTTAAGTCTCTCACACTATGAAGTTTTCTGCAGCCTGAGTCTGATCCCCGGCCAGGGAGTGACCCACAGGGCACAGCAGACCCCTCCTGTCTCCCCGCTGCTCCCCTTAGCAGTGGATCCACCTGTTCTGCTCCCCACTCTGTCTCTGGAGAATCCTCATCCCACACCCCCATCCCCAGGCCTGGCCTATACCCCAGACCTTGTGTGTAAAATAAATAAATTCTTCTTAAAGAAAACCACTGCTCTCTTAAAGGTTGATGGGACTGAGACTGACCTGGAGGTGGGATGAGAAGCTCCTGCTCACTGGGCACAGCTGAGTGGTCAGTGGTCTGGACAACACGCGGAGAACTGTCTTCCCAGTCAGCACAGGAGAGGGAACTTGGACCTGCCTTGGGGATTCTGAGGACAAACGTGACCAAGGTTGGCAGCACACGGGCCTGGAGGTGGCTCTGGGCTGGGCCCTGATGTAGAGAGCGCCAGCAGCTCAGGCCTCACTGCCAGCATGCGCCTCCACAACAGTGTTTGGGTCTCCAAATGCTGCCTCTCCCGGCTTTGTGCTGATTTTAAGGAAGCACTGCTCTCCAGAAGTAACGGTTTTCATCTTGGACTGGCCTCTTACTCACTGAGCGATCTAAAGGCGCCTTCCTCAGGTGTAAAAAGGCAATTCTCCTCCTTCTCCAGTCCTTCTCCCGGGGGTGGTGAGATTACATCGAGAGGCAGACACTCTTACTTACCAAGAGCATCATCCAAGGACTTGGGCTTTTGTGCCACAATTAAACCAATTAAAATAATGCAAATCTCTTAAAATACTATTATTCTGTACCTCTTGAATTAAAAGTGAACAGAACAATCCTTGCTGGAACAGCATGTCTGTCCTGGTAAACAAATGTAGCAGAAACCTCATCTTAGAAACAAATGAACCACAACTATCAATTCATTTTTATGAGGATGGGAAGTCTGGGAACTTTATCCACTATTTTGGCAAAGGATCGGGATTAAGTGAGCACCTGTGAGACCCAGGTGACACCCCCCATCTGCCAAATTACTGCTCACCTCAATCACACTTGTGTAGCTGAATCAGGTCAAGGCGTGTGCCTCAATAAACAGGGGTTCAGACAGCTACCCCCTTTTTTAATATATTTGGGGTGACAGCATTTTATTGATGTCCGTTTGAAAGGGACAAAACATTCATCCCACACAACCCTCACCAGATAAATGTGCCCAACCTGGCTGGTCTGCTCGGGGGAAATGATGCCTTTGTCCTGCCCCGACAAGTCACCAAACGTAAGAGCCTTTTCGGGATCCCTTGAAACTTCCTACAGAAACCCCACCAATTTCTTCACCTCCTGGCACACGGGATATGCCAGTTCTTGGGCTTTCGCTGACCCGGCCTGGAGGACTTTCTCTAAGTAGTCCCTGTCCATCTTCAGTTTTTCAATTTCGCTCTTAATTGGTGCAAATTTTGCAATCACGGCGTCCGCCACGGCCAGCTTGTAGCGCGCAGTGTCCAGCCCGGCGCTGCGCTTCACCACCTCCTGTACCGCGAGGCCGGTCACTGCCGCGTGGACGGACACCAGGTTGGACACGCCTGCCCGCCGTGCCGGGTCGTAGGTGACCTCTGACGTGCAGTCCGTCACCGCCTTCCGGAATTTCTCCACGATCTCCTCAGGGCTGTCGGTGATCTTGACGGTGGCCAGTTTGTCAGAGTCCGATTTCGACATTTTGGCAGAAGGATCACGGAGGGATTTCACCTTCTTCGTCGAGGCTGTGTGCAAGCATCGGCAGACGGGCCAGAAACAAAAACAGAACAGGAACAGTGGGAGAGTCAGGGTTTAGGTCTACCACGTGCCACGAACTTCAGATCATTGTAGGATTTTTATCTGATTAGAGACATAGCAAATACTCTGTGCAAAACGCAAGTAACTTACTTGAGCGTGAAAATAAAGCTCATCTGAGCTGTCATTCTATTTTTGCTCTTTTGTTTTGGATCTTCTCATGGATCTTTTCATGCATGCACACATAAACATGGCTCGTCTCACACAGAAAATCACGTAAGTCATACTGCTTTTGCTGCACACACCTTTTTTTTTTTTTTTTTTTTGCATCACTTTGTGCATTTTTCCATCTCAGTTGTAATCCCCATGGGCTTCCCATCACCAAAGCACCATGGTTGCACACACCTTTTAAAATGCATTGTTTAACTCTTTGCTCTCCAGCTCCTGGCTCATCACACTTCCTTACCACCGAAAGACCCCTGTCCACAGCCACTGTCCTGCCCACCCCCAAACCGATTTTAACGATCTGTCGCATTTTTCCCACTTCTTCACCCATGACTCTATAAGTGTACACCAGCACTCAACCCAGTACACACACTGGATAAGTGACTTGTTTATTGCGTTGATGGAATCAAGATGTTATTGTAAGCGGTGCGGCATAAGCCAGTGTTATTAATAATTGCCTATTTTATGGTTGCTACGGAAGCATATAAAGTTGAAATAGGTAAAATAATAATAGACCAAAACATTGAAATATTACTTCTTGTTCAAACCAGTTCGCGCCTAATGCGTGAGGCACGCTGATTCCGTTGCACATGGCTGGAGGAACTTAGAATGCCTGCCCGCCACTGTGAAAGGACACAGATACAGGGACACGCCTCTAAACGCCGTCAGCTCAGGAGAGACGACGGAACTTCTGCCCCGCCACACCTTAGCTCACACTGCTACCCAAACGTCCACAGAGAGTCACGCTTCCGTCCTCAAGAGGATTTCAGACGCAGGATCGAACCACAGCTGCAGCTGTTTCGGATTCGGTATAAATTTTATCTCACTTGTGCAATTCAGAAAGCAAAGTGTGAGGATTATCGATGTCCTCCTGTTTTACACAGATGACACAAGTTCTCACTCTCAGGACTTTTGTTTTATTGTGAACAGGGAAAGGAAAGCAAATTGGCTTTGCCCTCAGAAGGCTCTGGAGGCCCAGCCTGGCCACTACCCGAACATGTGGCCTGGACACACCGTCAGTTTGCCAAGCCTCAGGCCCTCACCCACAAAGTCGTGAAAGACCCGCTCCACCAAAGGAGATGCGTTTTTATTTCTGCTTGGTAGATGATATGATCTTTTCTTATTCATACTAGAACTGGGGTGAAGGCCAGAAGTGTGGGGAGTAAGAAGAGTCACCCATGACAGAATGGGGAGCAGAACAGAACTGAAATCCACTGCTGAGGGGAGCAGCGGGAAGACAGGAGGGGTCTGCTGAGCCATGCCGGGCACTCCCTGGCCTGAGATCGAGCTTGAGTTGTGGTGGCTGCAGAGAGCTTGACAGCACTGAAAGTTGACCGCATGCGTCGCCAGGGAGGCCCCACATGACATAATCTTTTATAAATAAAAATGATTATCACTGGCCTTTGGTCTGTCCCACACTTTGGAACTTTGTTAGCTGTTTTACCCAAGAAGCCAACAAGCTCTTCTGGCCCTACACTGGTGAAAAGGATGCACTGCAGCAACAAATCCCAAAGCCTGTCTTTGAATGTCACATTTAATCCCAAGAAGTTCCACACCTTGGTCCGATCTTCGCTTCAAACACGCCCGACTCGGCAGCCCCACGCCTGTTACTTACTGAGCAGGGAGGTGGGCACCGGGAAGAAGTGTCCATACTTCTTGTTAAACCCTCGGGCCAGGTCCTGAACCAGTTCCATGTGCTGGACTTGGTCCTCCCCGACAGGAACGTGTGTGGACCTTTAATACAAGACAGAGACGCTCAGCACGAGTCCTGCTTAAACGGAAACGATACTGCCCACAGCTGCATTTCCGGTGCCTGCTTCCCACGTGCTGCCGAGCAAATGTTCGCAACTACAGAGGGAAGGTGGAGACCCGAGTTTTTATCTGTGTATCCGACAAATGCCACAGAGGTGTTTGTCTCCTCTAGTTCTGCTTCCCATAGCACAAGAGCGCAGCGATCAGCACCAGCGTGGCAGGTCACTGAGAGGTGGGGTGGGCCCTCCACAGAGAGTGCTGGGCGCATAATTGCATTTTAGAACTCCCCCCACCCCACTCCGGCTTAGTCAGCTATTAGCTGTGCCCAGATGCCTTTCACTTCAGAGCTGTTGCTCATACTTGAAAGAGACCCCACCCACTCTTGCAATCAGAGATGGCAGAAAGCACTTGAGGACAGTCTTTCCTGCCTGCCACATACGGGGTAGACTCAAGGTCTGTTTGGAATATGTGTCTTCCTCTCCAAGGAAACTGCAATCACTGGGCAATAAATAAGATGCAGGCAGCTGAAAATAAACGAATGAAATCGCGCACAGCATCGAGGGACCTCAAAAACCATGTTCAATGAAAACAGTGAGTTGCAGAACTCAGAGTTCACTGCACGTGTGTAAATCCTACTTGTACAGATAAAACCACTAAATGTTTATAGGTACACGGGTAGGCGTAAAGATAAGCTCCTTCACGAAGTGTAATGTCCGCTAGAGAACAAAGGAATAGAATTTGCACAAAGGGCCTGGTGCAAGGAACAAGAGACCTGAATGTTGTCCTTGATGGTTTAATTAGAAAATGAAAATGGGGGGGGCCTGGGGAGGCCCTCCCTGGTGGCGCAGCGGGTTAAAGCGCAGCACTAAGAAGCTAAAGTCACTTCAGTATGAGTTCGATCCCCGCCTCAGAGGTGACCACATGGTGCAGCAGACCTCTCTTGACCTGCCCGCTGCTCCCCTCAGCAGTGTTCTTCGTCAGTCTGCCTGTTCTGCTCCCCACTCTGTCTCTGGTGAATCCTCTCACCTCCCCCCATCTCTAGCCTGTACCCCGGTTCTGTATGCATAAGTAAATAAATCTTTAAAAAAAAATGAAGATGTGAAATAAAAAAATTGCCAGAAATAAAAATTTGCTTTGCTTATCACTATTTTAATCCCACATGGAAAGCACAATGTTTATACCAACGTGGACAGGAGAAGAGACCAGTGACTTCAGGCTTGTCTGGCCGGGAGCTTGTATTTGGTGATAAAACCAAAGTGTCTATTTCTTGATCAAGCAAGTTTAATGTTTTCCCTATGAAGACAGGAGCCTAAAAGTGAACTTGAATAGTTCAGTGATCATTGTACATTTTGAGTGCTGATACATCAGCTCTTCAAAACAGTCACAGGAAAGGCAAATGATGGCACTTTACTCAAGAAACTGCCTTGGCCGATGATTAATTAGTGGTTCTTGAAAAACTGGTGACATCTTACTATTTTCCTCATGAACTACTGTCCACAGAGTATCAGAGTATCAAGTACATGGGGAAGACAAGGAAGTTTCTTTTTTTTTAATAAGATTTTGCTTATTTATGCACACAAGAACTGGGATACTCGCAGGCCAGAGGTGGAGGAGGGTAAGAGGATTCACCAGACACAGAGTGGGGAACAGAACGGATTGACTGAAACACACTGCTAAGGGGAGCAGCAGGCAGGTCAGGAGAGGTCTGCTGGGCCCTGGGGGTCACTCCCTGGCCAGGGACTGAACTGGTGTTGCAGTGGCTGCAAACAGCTTCATAATGCTGAGCTTTAACTCCTGCCACCAGGGAGGGTTCTGAGAAGGAAGTTTATACTACCATTAAGATCAGCTAGTTGAGGGGGGCCTCCCTGGTGGCTGCAGCTGGGCTTGGGAGCTGGCCCCCAGGCACAGAGACCTCTCCCGTCTCACTGCTGCCCCCTCAGCAGTGGATTTCAGTAAATCTGCCTGTTCTGCCCCCTACTCTGTCTCTGGGGAGTCCTCTCACCCACCCTGCATCTCTGGCCTGTACCCGTTCTGTATGCATAAATAAATAAAATCTTAAAAAAAAAAGTGGGTCCTCTCTGGTGGTGCAGCGGGTTAAAGCACAGCACTGAGAAGCTAAAGCCACTTCCACATGAGTTCGATCCCCGCCTGCCCTAGAGGTGACCCACAGGGCGTGGCAGACCTCTCCTGACCCGCCCGCTGCTCCCCTCAGCAGTGTACTTCGTCGATCTGCCTGTTCTGCTCCCCACTCTGTCTCTGGTGA